AGTGGTACATCTCTGCAATTATTTAATCAAAAACTTTACATTGAACAACATTTAACTTTAATTCAATTTGTATGCCTTTGCGAATCAGAATAATTTTGCATTCTTTTAGTCTCATTATTTGCTCTCTCAGTCGAAACTTTTTCTCTTTTCAAGGAAAGAGAAGGAAAAAGTGCAGATTCAGTTTTCTCGCTCTCTTCTTTGGCAAACATTGTCTGTCCTCTCAACTTAACTTTCCACTCAGCCTCGGGACACTCTTCCTCCAACCAGCGCTACCCACTCCATGCACTCCTTTATTCCCACTTATTCTTATGACTCTTGTTCCCATTGTTGTGGGTCTGGTCGTTACCATACCCTAGCAGGAGGTACAACGATTAGGAGTACTCGTAGATGTTTGCCAGGCAGATCCGATCATATAAAGCCGATAGAACTGCGATTGAGGTACAAAGGATAGTTCTTAATGACCTTTAGTGATTCCCAAATAGTCCCTTTGGGGTATAGCGTCCATTGGCAGCATGGATTTGGTAGGGTATCAACAGTTTAGCGTTCCTTTGTCCTGTGTTCTCATTGTTGGTCTTGTAAGTAGCTCGAATTGAGGAAATGGTTGGGAAAATATGGCTAGAATGGAGGGAACGGGAATGGAGGGGGGTTCAAGTTGAAGGACATGACTAAATTTTGGGTGGTTGTTGTTGTTGCTGTTGCCTCTACTGTCGCTTTTGCTTTATGAAATTCAAATTGGAAATGAGAAAATGGTGGAAATGGGAATGTCTGAGGCAAACGAAGGAACGAACGGCAAGAATCCGTAATGACTTCTCCGGAGTCCAACTTTATGGAGCGTAAAAACTAATTAATTACACGTGCAAATTGTGATAAATTCCATTTTCTGTGTCACCACAACCCCCCCCTTTACCACACCCCCATTCAACCTAATTATTCCAAGTTTTTAGTGCAGTTCTGTGTGTTTCATAATTTCATTTACATACAAGTTTCAGTCTTTTTCACTTTTCCATGCAGATTTCCATCGATTTCTTCTTGTGGCACTCAGGGGTGGAGGGGGGTCGTAGGAGGAGGGGGGAATGTTGACCACAACAAGTGTCCTTGGGCCACTTTGCTGGTATCCACACAGCACTGCAGCACATCTCATTTTGGAGAATTTTCTATTTATATGCACTGGCCTCTAGCGGTCACAGCTGGTCATCTCCCTCTTTAGTGCCCCTCCCATATGCATGTCCCGCCCCCAGAGACCCCCCAGAGATTCCTCTACCAGATTAAAAATTCGGCATTTGTTGCGCTGTTTTTGTTGTTATTTTTAATCAGACGACATCCACGCATCTAATTCTGTTCTTAGTGATTCACGGGCGCCACGCTCACTTGGCTCTCTCTCACGGGGGCCTGCACTTTTCGAATTCGTTTTGAGCGCCAAGAGTGCCAAGTCCTTATAATTAATGTTTGCAATTGAACTTGACCCAAAAATGTGTGAATAATTCACAGTCGAGAGCAGATGCCAACGACTACTGGGGGCAAGCCCAGATACTATCCTAGTGGGAGGCAGGCGGCAGGAGGCAGGAGTCGGAGGCTGCCTGGGAGATTTCAAGTGAAATTGCTTTGGACTTGGGGCCAAGTCCTATGTTACGAAACTCGACACCATCTGTAGTGTCTGTAGTAATTTATACGAGGAACAAGAACAAGCCTGTAAATGGGTCAATGGGAATGCGTTGTAAATACTACGAGAATTTATGCGCTAACGGAATGAACAGCAGAAATGTGTTTTTTGCTTTTGCTGCAGGGAAGGGGTTTCTTGGGAAAAGTGTTTACTTTTAGAAAATCATGAGACGATTTATTGGTTTCTAGAAATGGTTTCAAAAATTAGCTAGGTGAAGGAAGGATGAGACAGAATAATTTCTACTATAAATATTTACATATTTATTAATATTTATTAAAGCCAACGACCGTATACAATTTTTAAATATTTTATACTATCTTTATGAATATTTGTATTAATTTAATTATGTGACAGAAAAGACAGTTTATTTATAGAGTAGATGTTTGGACTTTTGTTTAAACTGCTGTCACGTTTCAATTAACATACTAATGCCAATGCAAACGATTTTCTGTTAATTTATTCATAACATAGTCTGTCATGGAGCCGTGTTCCCTCTTCCATATCTGATTGATTTTTTGTTACATTTTGCTATTGACCACAAACTTAGTTCTGCCGTGGCATAATAATGTTATTCCCTTCCAATGAATTTTATCTGATTAACGAGTATTCCTCTGCTGTTTTGCCACTTAATCTCTCAAATTGCGTGTTTATTTAGTTAAAAATAGAGCTGATTTTCTTTGTTTTTATTATTGTTTGGCTTTCTTTTGTTACTTGGGAATTGTGATTTTGAATTTGCGCGTAAAAAGAATTGTTTTCTGTTTGACCAGGTTCTCTGGAAAATAATATAAATACAATGCAAATAAATTTTAAAGGATATATATATTTAATTTGCTAAAGAGACTGCCAATTCGCACTTCTGTTAGAATTCCCCGCTCAAGTCAACAGCCTGCTTTAAGACCCACAATTATCGCCCAACAATTGTTCAACTTTTGTTTGAAACTTTTCCTAGAAACATTTCGCGCACTCATTTTCCATAATACCCCTTTTTCTGCTCTTTATGCAAACATTTTTGACCTAGTTATGGGATTCCTTTCACTTTTTTTGCTGTCGAGCAAATGGATTCATCTTTGCAGAAAAATAAACTTGAAACGCTTTCGAGTGTGGAACTATCCCACTCCCGTTCCACTCTACCCTACGGCACTATATCTTCTCCCATTCCCTTTTCAGCCCTATACTCCGTCTTGTCCTTTCAGCCCTATACTCCGTCTCGTCTTTTCAGCACTATATCTTTCCTCGCCCCTCCAGCACTATATCCTCCTCATCCTCGTCTTGCCTCACTCTGGTATTCTGTTTCTGGTGCCATCACTCTCTCAAATTGCCAACTGCACAAAGTCGTCGCTTCTGTTCTCGTTTGATATCAGATGCATTCATGTTTAGTTTTGTAATTAAAACTGTAATTCTACTACAGTACGCACCCGCAGAGTGATGGAAGGGGGGGTGGAGTCATTAGCATGCAAATGTATGCCTGACTGAAAGGGGAACCAACTAAGGTAACCCCCAACTCGCACAGAAACAAGCAGCGAGCGAGAGCGAGCCTGTTTTTGTGAGATAAGTGAGAAAAAGTGTTGAAGAAAACCGTCATTGGGGATAGTTCCGCCAAAGAATACCCCTTACATGTACCAATCAAACACCATTATGCCAACGAAGATAGTAAATAACTTTTTGATGGAAACAGTGTCATGATTCGTCTCATTCTGCCTATAAAATTTATCTTATCACAAGGTGATATTCAGTAGATAATTGCTGTATGTCTTTCGAGAGATTGCTACCACCATTTCTGTATTTGAGGAGAATGACGGCGGAGGAACAAGCAAATAAGAAGATCTTTGCGGTATCTGGCAGTAGAAAACTCTTTTTAACAGCTGTAACCAACCCACCCGCAACTCCATCATGCTCTTCGACCTCACATGTATGGCGTATACAAATTTCATTGCATACTTTTCAGCGCCCGAACGAAATTGCGGCTGCCGCCTGCGGGGCACATCTGTGACAGCTGGCCCTGGCATGTGAATGTAAATGTGAATTTAATTGTGCTACCCACTCACGCACACACACACTCACACACACATGGACACGCAACCCACTCTAAGCCACAGCCGCAGCCGCACGAGGGAAAGGAGTGTTGCAGCTGTCAGTCAATCAGAAAGATGGCGTCGCCTGTCGCCGACTTGCCCTGAAAGTTGTGCCAAGCCAAGCTCCAAGAGGGGGACGGAGGGCTTTTATAATAATTTCAAATGTTTATAGTGCGAAATATACACACACATACACATACATACTCGTATATTTGATATGCACATGTATACTATATTTATATGCTGGCATAGAACTGGCATATCTCTATAACGCCTTGTCGCCTGCCCGTTGGCTGGGTTCAGGCTTAGTCGCTTTTGCCTTTTGCTTGCTTCCTTCCTGGGCAACTTCCTGTCACGCTTGAGGGCGGGCTGGCACAACCGATTGCTATATAAACATTGCCCCTATGCCAGCCAGCTACCTCTTTCTGCCGCTCTCTTCCCTGCCGTCGTCTTCTGCTATGTTTGCCATTTCAGTGTTTTATTGAAGACGACGTGCAGGAAATTTGAGCAACGCAGAACCCGAGCAGCCAGCAACCAAAAAAAAAATGGGAAAGAAAATCCATTTACGTAATTACTTGAACCTAAAGGATCCGCCAAAGGATGCGCGCAACGAGACCTTTTCCTTATTAAATTATTGAGGAATTGCTTAGTCGCTTATTGGAATCTGTTCTGCAACTAAGTCCCATCGATTATCCTGAAAGTTTTCTCATTTTCCCAGCCCTCCAGAGCCGTTAATTATATTTTACTTGGAATACATATTTTTGCACAAGGGATTGCCTCGCTCCTCGGGGCAGCAAAGTGAGTCGAACTTTGTTAAAATTAGCATAATTTATGGTCTTAGTCCTCTGGCATCTGCCAGCCCTTCGGGGGGTTATTAAGACCCGAAATTTATGATTTCTGGCCAGAGGAAAGGATCTTAAATCATTTTCCTTGTAATTTGTGATGCATCAATGAAGATTTCACACAAGTTTTCTTCTTTACAAAACAAACACACGGAAGGGACCACTAAACGAATCAATCCCCCACAATTGCTTAACTTTTGTTTAAACTTTTGCCAGAAACATTTCCGAGCAAGTAACACAATCCTCTTAGACGAGTATATCTGTTCAATTTGTATTTGTATCGCCTTCGGAAGGGCACCCACCAGCAATAATAGAAATCAACTTCGTGGAACTTTCTTCTCTTACCAAAGTTTTGTTTGCCATTGCAGGCGTGGCCCTTTGTGGAAAGCATTTAATAATGTAAGGCGATTCCGGCCCTAAGACTAGGACTGGCCATTCTGTAATTACACACGAGTTCAGCGAGCAACAGGAAGAGGGACAGACAGAGCTGGATTGGACGGCCAGGATATACCAGGAAAGGACTCAAGAGAAGCCCAGCCAGCGAAACGGCGTCCAACAAGTTGTCTCCAGGCTCAACAAGAACCCTCAAACGAACTTGGACTCAAACTCAAGCACAAACTCAAACACAGCTCGCTGTCCAGGGCGCTCTCTGACTGCCACCCGCCACCCAGAAGGGACCACACCCCCAACACCCCAACACCCCCACACAGAGGAGAAGCAAGCAGCAAAACGGCAGCCGTGGATACCAAAGCGCTGCGCAGTTCAGCCGCCACTGTGAAAGCGACATCGACGCCGTCGCTGGCACCGGCACCGGCACCGGCACCGTCGCAGGCACCGTCGCTGGCAATCTGTCAGCCGCCCCCACCCACACCGCCCTATCAGCGGCTAACCAAAGCGCTGCAATGCGATCCCCGCTGCGGACACGAGGTGAGTGCAATCTGAGGTGGGTGGGCGTGAGGCGGGAGTTAGTGGGCAGGGGCCAAGAGGGCACTAACAGGCGATTCTCTAGCAGCAAATTTGAGGTAAAGTAAACAACGTGTATCTGTATCTGTATCTGATAATTACCCACATACAACCTGTAACTTTTTTAACTAAGTGTGAAATGGGGGCAAATACTTGTACATTTCTAAGTGATTTTCAAAGAGCGATGGGGCTAAAAGGAAAAAGCTGCTTTTTTTCCCCTTTCTAAGGCGACAAAATTGGCTAAATTTCAGGAATTTTTTTAAAACAAAATAAACTATTCTGTACAAATTTGTTGGTGTTTTAATTTTAATTAAAAGAGGTGTTTTATTGAATTTTTTTTATTTGAAAAAATATTATGACGCCGCTCTCGGCAGGCGCGTTACCTTCCAATGCCTCCACGTGTGATCTGATATTAAATATTTATTAAAGATATAAATGATAATCAATTATATTTATTCATGCTTTGCGCAGCCAGGGCAGGGTCCCCAAAATTTCATTTGCTTTAATTTGAATAAATAAGTACAGTATTTGTTGTACAAATAGAGCCGTTTGCATTATACCCATATTTAATATTTGCGAAATGCAATCATAAAGATAAATATAAATACCCATAATTTGTAGGGGTTAAACAAATTTCGAAAATGGATAAATGTAGCACAAAATTCACAAAGTTTGACAAACAACATTATCATTCTACAAATCTTATAATTTCCGTTTAGTTCTAAAAGGAAGCCAAATTTGTGTAGTTCTCGGTTAAAGTTTATTTAGCAAAAAAATGTCTTTGGGACAATAAACATAATCGAAGTAGTATTTTCCTTAGAAAGATTACGGTTAATAATATAGCTACCCCTTGAAAGGATTTCTTCCTTAAGTAATGGTAAAATAGTCATTAATTTAAATGAAATCTAACTGCTGAAATCTCATATTCTTAAGTCCTATATCAACGCCCTCTCCTATTACGTCTCACCTTACCTTAAGGATCCTTAATCTCCCATTGTATGTGCATAGTAAACCATTTGACGCTCAACAACCCGCCATGAATTTATTCCGCATTTCTAAGCTTCCGCTGAACAAACAAATTTCCACTTGGCCCAGTTTCTGGTGTCAAAAGCATCTAAATTGGTAGGACACAAATTTCATCTTCACAAAGTGTCATGCCAGGCCACGGAACTTATTGTGCCAGATTAGCGTGTCCTTGCGGATGATGAATGGTCTGCTTGTTCATGCTACGAGTATAGGTAGGACACCATGCAACCTGTACAATGTACGATGTATGTGGCATGCGGCATGCGGCGACGGCGGCGGCACAAAAAGAGTTCACCTCTGACATGCTGACGTCACGGCAGCTCAGCTCCAGTGTAGGCCAGACCCGGTCCAGGTCCAGTTCCAGGCCATTGTCGCCTCTTGTGTGTGTTAGCTAATACACAAACCCTCTGCAGCAGCGCTGCAATTATGCGGAGGTTCAAGGCTAATTTGCTTGTGCCCCAATGGCTTTGAAAGGGGGGAGCGCGAGAGCCCGAGAAGAGAAGACTGTCTGTATGTGTGTGTGTGTGTGTGTGGGCTCATGCACCGTGGAATTAAGCTCTGTGGGGGGGGAGAGAGGGGGTGCGCGTTTGTATGTATGTGCTTTGTATGTGCGCGTGTGACCGAATGCAAGGCAGCCGCATTACGTATACGCCGCGTTTCGTTGCGTTTCGCCTTAATTAACGCCCACACACACACAAACCCCTCTCGATGGCTCAAAAGGTGGATTAAGCCAACCAGCCAAGAGCAGAAATAAAACAAGAAAAGCCTAAGCCTTAGATGCAGAGGCGTTTAATACTCTTAGAGAAAAATAGGTTCTAGGGAAACCACAAGGAGATTTGCATAAAATATCTCTTTTGAAAGTGAGATTTGTATGATTTTTTCGAGATATCTTTGAAAACAAGCCAAGCCCTGTTTTCCTTATGATATATACAGAAGGACCTTATATTTTCGACTCTGAAAGAGTATAATATGCCTGCAATAAGCAACAAGCAGCGGCAAGTGGAAGCCACGATAAGTGCAGCCACAGTTCAAATTACATTAACAAAAAAAAAAATTGTGCCCCCTTGACCTTGACTAATTGTGAGTCCAGCAACAAGGGCGAGGGCGAGTGCGAGGGCGAGGGCGAGGGCACAGGCACTTTTCGAAGACCACATTCAACGCACACTATAAATGGGGGCAGCACTCGTATAAGAATAAATTAGCGGCCAACAAGTTTCGGCCCGGAATATGGAGGCAGTCAATGTTAATTGTTACAACATGTGTACCCACCGCAAATAATCGCTGCATTCAATGGCCCAAGCTCAAGGCGGTCTTTAGTGGACTTTTGTCCCTGGTGGAAATCAAACAAGGAAATTGCTCATACTTTGAGTGCCTTTTGCACATGCAAATACTTGAAATTTAAGTTAAATGAATGCCAAAATGTATTCCAACAAAATACCAATTTATTATCCTTGCGGAAGTCTTAGGATCTCTTTGCTTTGTATGGTTTCAGCCCCTAGTGTTTGGGGTTAATGTGGGGTCAAAACAAAGCCAAAGACGAAACCAAAGACTCAAATGGAGTGTGGGAAAGACAAATTGTTTAACAATTGAATGGAAAACATATATTCACGTATATGAAAAGGCCAAGCCAACAATTCAACTTTGGTTTACTTTTGTGGTGGCAATGGGAAGCAGTATAAATTTGATTTAATTATATCCAAGCCAAGCCAAATGCAAGAACAAAATATGTGCGCTTGCTGTTAAGTAAAGATACTGAATATGGAATAATATATTGCTAGTTGTTTGCCCATAAGAGAATCTTGTATCTCTCGCATCCGTAAGTCTACGCACGGTCATCGGATCGTTCTGTATCTCAAATAGAAGAAGCGCAAGCCTGCAGATACTGTTCTGGAAAGCTTTGCTTTATTCGAATGAATGATGAATGGGCTCTATTCCGTGCTGTGGAGATTCAGAATCATAGAACCTGAGTGAAAAAAGTATTAAAAGCGTCAAACCCCAGCAGCCTAACCAGGTTGATTAATATAAAATGTATAAGAAACAAAAGTACTCAGATGTCTAGAGTATGTAGCAGAAATCAATGGAGACCTATTGTCCTGTTTAATATCATATAAGGACTAAAATAGGATTTTATGTGAAAATAGCAGATATAAATTTAAATATTTCTACCTTCCTAATTTTTGATTTTTGCCACTTGGTCTTCTCTTCCAGGTGACCATTGGCCGTCGCATTGGTCTGTACAGATTCTGTGGCGACATCGGTCGCGGCAATTTCTCAAAAGTCAAACTGGCCGTCCATCAGCTAACGCGTGGTAGGTTTCTATATTGGATTTCCATTGGTTTTATATTGACATCCTCCTATTCGATTGCCAGACAAGGTGGCCATTAAGGTGGTGGACCTGGATCGGGCTGGACTCGATGCCAAGGCGCTGCGGATGCTGTCCAGCGAGATAGCCACTCTCGAGTGTGTTCATCATCCGAACATCTTAAGGTGAGATCAAAAGCGTACCCTGTGTAATGGCAGTCCTTTAACCTTCCGTCTCTTGTAGGCTTTTCGAGGTGGTAGAGACTTTGGGACGTGTCTATCTGGTCACCGAGTGGATCCGCGGCGGAGAGCTCTACAACCACATCACCCAAGGCGGTCCCCTGAGGGAGATTCATGCGGCGCCTCTGTTCAAACAGCTCCTGCTGGCCGTCAAGCATATGGTAAGATCTAAAACCGAACCCCATCGAGATCCTTCGATAACTCTAGCCCTGAAATGCACTTACAGCACAGCCTTGGCTATGTGCATCGCGATATCAAGGCGGAGAATGTGCTGCTCCTGTCAGAGGATCGCCTGAAGCTGGCCGACTTTGGTTTCAGCACACAACTCATAAATGGTAAGCCATTGCCATTGCCATTGTTTTACCTGTTCTAAAATATCACCAATCGATCCCTCGTATAGGTGCCAATCAGAAGCTCGACACATTTTGCGGCTCACCGCCATATGCCGCCCCAGAGCTCTTCTCCGATGATCATTACATAGGCGCCCCCGTAGATGTCTGGGCCCTGGGCATTCTGTTGTACTTTATGGTCGTGGGGAATATGCCTTTTCGGGCCCCCACCATACCGGGCCTCAAGGCAGCCATTCTTAAGGGGGACTATCTGCTGCCGGGACAGCTCAGTTTGCCCTGCATAAGATTAATACGTAAGTGAGAGATTCTTGAGTGAAATGGAGAGTCCTCTATCTTTTGTACTCCCTTGCAGAGCGCGTTCTTATCCACATACCCGCCCAGCGGCCCACCATCGATGATATGCTGAACAGCCAGTTTGTGACTTGCCCCAAGCTGAGCGCCGACCTCATGCAGTACGAGATTAATCTGCACAGCAAGCCCGTCAAGCGATCCATCTTCTGGGTGCGCACCAAGTCGCACCGCCTGAGAAAGTCCGCCTCGCTGAGGGACCGATATGCGGAGGTGGTCAAGAAGCCGGCTATTAGCATGAACACGCGCCAGCAGGACGAGATGTTTGTGCAGAACTTTCTGCAGCCCATTGAGCTCGGGCACGAGCTGCTCCTGCAGGTGCCGAGCCAAGTCAAGGAGGCAACGGCCGAGCCGGCCAAGCGTCCTGGCAGGCGGTATCTACTCTGCGGAACGCTCAAGAAGAAGGTCACGCCCATGGAGACGGAGCCCGAGAAGCAGCTGTCCTGTTCGAATGGCAGCCAATGCCCCTCTGCCAAGATAAATCCCTGGAACGTCGAGGTGGCCGAGGACTGTCCCCTGTTCAAGAACTACGATGCAGAGACGGGCAGCTGCGTGATGCTGCCCACCGCCACCGAAGATCTCAGCCAGCTGGGGGCTCTAGAGTTCGAGGCGCGCCAGCTGCTGGCCGAGCTGGGTGTCTCCTCGGAGATGCTGCTCAATGCCCGCCAGAGTGGGCCCCGCTCGGACATCATTGGGGCCTATCGGATTGTGGTCAACCGGCTGCAGAAGCAATCGTGGCTGGCCCGCAAACACGTCGAGATGGCCCTGCACATTGAGCCCAAGGTGGAGAAGCGAATCGAGCGCTCTTGCTGTATACTCTAAGCAGGGTCATAAAACTGTTGAATGTTTATATTACTCACCTGGTTCTGGTCGATCTTGGGGTTCCGTTCCCCCAAAGAAAGGTAAACTTAGTTGTCCATAGCATACTTAGTGGGGCTACAGCAGATGATTGTCTAGGATTGATTGTTTTTTATATAAAAGAATGCTCAAAATGTCTCAGAGAGATGGCTGCTATCAGTCGAAAGCCTTGGGATCGGGAAGTTAGAGCTTTGTCACTTTTAAGACCAAATTTTACGATGCCAAAAGTTGAAATCGGAGTGTAGTGCCTCGTTGGAGTACCAGTTTCAGACAGCAATCATCTCTGACTCCTTCGCACATGTATCTTAGATCCGATCCCAATGGTCCTGCACTTGCCCAAAGAAGACACCCCTTAAGGCCAGCCACAATTACCCCTAGAGATGTATGCTATGGGTAAGCCTTTCTTTGGGTTGGGTTTCAGCCACAGGACCTGCCACAGGCCATGCCCAATTAGTGTCAATTTTGCCAGCTGCAAGAGTCGGTAGAAGTTTGTTGTTAATGTAGTCTCGTTTTTCCTTTGGTTCCCTCCTCATTAACCCAGCAGCATAGCGAGAAAGTTCCTTATTTCGAGTAGTTTGTGTTGTTTCAAACTGTTACAGCCGGAGGCGAATAGTGAAATTGATATATAAAAATATATATATATATATATACCTACATATAGTTATACCATACATATAGTCCAAGTATTATGTATTTAGTTGTTGGTCCATTTTTGAGCATACATATACAGGCGAATATACGAACATGAATATGAATATGAATACATCTATAAATATGAATATTGCGATCTTTGAAAACCCTCTCAATGTACAACGTTGCATAAAAATGTTTAATTGATCATCAAAAAGCATGAACAGTGTGTTTTTTGTGTATTGTCTCCCGTGGAGTCAATCTCGTACTCGTACAATAAAGCAGCATTATGAAAGAATCGTAATCGTACAAATCGGAAACATATTATAAACTAAGTCTCATCCAATCGCCAAGGTATATTCACACATACTATATATAATGTGAGGCTCTACCGCTCTCCTCAGCCATCAAACGTTTTAGGAGCAATCTCATTGGGCATTGGGCCTTGCCCCTTTATGAATACACCTTGCACTCTCTATCTAGCCTTATTTTATTGCATTTGCAGCATCCGCCGGGCTCTGCTCTCTGCCGCTCGCTATCGCTGTCGCTGCCTCTGTCGCTCCACTTTTGCTTATTGTTGTTGCTTTTGTTCTTTTTGGCGCAGGCGTCGCGTGGCAGAGCGAGAGAGCCAACTAACTGGGGCTTCTCTCAAACGACGGCTCTCTCACTGGGTTTGCTGCCGCTGCTGCTGGTGCCGGCAGCGTCGCCGTCTCTTACGCTCTCTTCTGTGGAGTGGAATGGAATTGATAAGACGTTGGTTTTGAGTGGAAATCGAGTGAGAATTTTATAGTAAGATGGAACAGATGGAACTCTTTCGAATTAAGAAAGAAATATTGTGTGCAGCAATCTCAGACGGACGCGACTGTTAAACCTAATCAAGATCTCGCCTCTCCATATTACCGATTACAACAACAAATACTCACCCACTATGGCAAACGAGTCCGAGTCTGAGGTGCCGGCCGGCCAGTCAATATCCGGCATGGTCGGCCATTCAATATCCTCCGCCGTGTCCCAGTCAACGGCGCGCGTCTGGCTAATCTCGAAGAGCGCCGGCGAGCACATGCCCAGCACCTCCTGGCGCAGTTTATCCAGTAGCTGCTGAAAGCTGTCACTGGTCTTGCACAGGAAGCAGACGGCCAGCGAGGGATCCATGGCGGAGAAGCTCAGGCGTGCCGCATGCTTCTGATGGTAGGTCTCGTCGTGTTCCTGTTCGCCTGAGGAGGTCTTCTGGCCGACCACGCCCGTCTTTTGCGTGGTGTGAGGATCCAGGTACAACACTTCGTCTTCGACGTATCCAAGGAAGTACAGAGCCTGATTTGGACGGCCGCCGATCATGCCACAGCTGCTGTCCAGCTCGAGACAGCGTTTCAAAGCTGGGATGTAGATGGGATTGATGTCGCTGATGCCCAGCCGCAGGGGGATGATAAGTAGAAGTGGCTTCCAGGCATCTCCTTCCAGGCAGAGTGAATCTACAAAGGAATAAGCGAGGAATAAGCATGGACTCCTTGGATTCCAGTTCAGCCATCACTCACAGACATCATCGAGGACCACAGTGCTGTCCATAGCCACATGGACCACCAGCGAACACCAGTCATCGAATAGCACCAGTTTTCTGAAAGTATCAGAGTAATCTCAGATTACAATCCCTCCTATATACGGATGGATATCTCTGCTCCACTTACTTGAGGATCTGTGCCACTGTATTGGGTCCCAGCCACTCGCCCACCGCCTTGTTCTGGGATTCACCCATAAGGGCGATCTGGTGTATGGAGTAGTAGCTCTTGCGGACATCTTCAAAGCGATTTACAATCTTGAGGTAGGTGGCATCCTGGCACTCGGGTGTCCAGAACCAATCGCGTCCCAAATGCAGGTCAATAAGGGCCTGAGCGAGGACCATCTGGCCGCAGCGCAGCATGCAGCCCCATCCCCTATCCGTGGTGAGCTGCACCTCACCTAAGGGCATGAAACCGTGGCGATAGGTACACCACAGTCGGGACTGTATATCCCTTCGGATGACTTCTAGTTCTGTGGAAAGGAATACACGATGATTGATGATTTGCCTCTAGTGTTGGCGTCCACCACTCACCCTGTATGGCATTGTATCGTCTGCCCAGCACCCAGACGTCAGTGTTCCGTTTGGGTATATCCTCTGGCTCGCCGCTGCCCACCGCCTGGCCTACGGCACTGGCCAGGACGCTGTCCGGACCCAGATAGGCCTCGAAGACGCTCTCCATGATTCGCGTTAGCTGATCGGCGAGGATAACCAGCATGGATGGAGGCGGAGTCCTAGATTCCCACCTTCGTCGCGGGCGTCGCCTTCCGTTTCGTTTCCGTTAATTGCCTGCCAATGACGTTTCGGTTTGTCTCTGGCTCTGCCTCTGCTCGGGCTCTGTTTCTGCCTCTGCCAGCTGCCTTTGTTTTGGCCTTTTATTGTCGCCTCCGCTGCGCCCTGCTCCAACACCCTGGGGGGGTCACAGCAAATGCATTTGTTGTTGGCAGTGTCTGGTGCTGATTACACCTTAAATTCGTATTTTCTGCTTCCACTATGTATTTTTTTTTAGAACTCGAATTGATTACAACGATAACAACAGCGGCGTCGCTGCGCTGCCACGACGAATGTGTTGACGTCGTACCGCGAAGTATTGGAAAACGTCATAAGGTTAACTAACAGTGCGCCTAACAGCACCAGCTGTGCTGTTCTTGAGTTCAAGGTATATTAGCCGAAAGGGGTGGGTTTGGCTTGCATGCGTTGCATTTTCTGGACCGTGTTGATGTTGTCCATACCCTCTTTTTTCCTCAGCAAGTTTGTAGCGGGCGGATTTGAATGTCGAGCAGGAAGCAACGCCACCTGAATAGCAGTAATATGATGGAGAATTATCTCAGTCCCAGTGATTCCTAAAAAGAGAAACCAGTGCAACAAACAATGGAGGTTCAGCAGAAGACAAAGCTCCGCCTGAATGGGGAACGATACTCCTCCATAGAAGAGTGCTGGAAAAGCGAGGCAACAGAAAATGACACAAGAATTCCTAAACAATTTAACGTTGATTTAATTAGCAAAAAAATGTACGTGCGCTCCTCAGTTAAGCAACTTTAAGCGCACAGAATTTGTTATTTAAATCGAAAAAATCATCCTCGGGCTCGGGATCCTCTACCGGCGCTCGTAGCATATCCGCATTGGGATCTGCTGTCTCTGTGGAGGCACTCGCTGCGGCTGCCTTTCTCGCCGCCTGACGCTCCTTTTTGAAGCGCTTCTTTTGCTGGACTTTGAGGGCGGCCTGATCCACCTCCGTCTGCTTCCAGGAGGGAATGAAATCCGCACACCAGTCAAAAAGATAGCAATAGAAGTCGAACATCAACTGGGAGTCGGAGAGCAGGTAGTGCTCCACGTGGTAACGCACATCCGGGCGATTCCTCAGAAGATCGTAGAGATTGTAGAGAAAAGCTCCGCAGTAGAGCTGGTTCATTCGAGGACTCGGCAGTGGGTGATCCAGAAGGGAATTCAGGCCGTTTAGTTGGTAGACCACCGCCTGGAACTCTGCGAAAGCATGGAGCACCGTTGTGGAGTATAGATCGAACTTCTTCTTGAAGATCTCCTGCATGTGAAAGTGGGGCAGGAGACGCTCCTGCACAAGGTAACAATCCGATTTGGGCACATGCGCCATCCTCTCAGGCACGGGCAGATCCAAGAGGGAGGGTTTCACACCCCTCTTGATGCCCTCGGCTGCTTCTTTGTCCCGCACGGCCCTCTCTTGCTTGAGGATCTTGCCGAAACGTCGATGAAAGGACTTGACCTCCCTCTCGGCGGGAATGGTCACATCTATGGTTCGCAGGACAACCAGACAGAGCAGCAAGGCATGGAGATGCAGCAGGTCGCAGTGCTCCGAGCGATGCAACCAGTAGACAATGGCCAGAAAGTACAGCCGCAGATCCTCCGGCAGTCTTTCCAGCTGCGCAAACAGTTGCTCCGTCTTGGCATGAGGCACTTTTGATTCGAACACCGCTCTCAGGTGCCGGGCATCCGGTGCGGAAGGCACAAAAGTATAGGCAAGCGGCTTCTCGATGGGCATCTTATGGTATCGCACATTGGTCACCCTCACAGCCCGCGTGAGGTATGTGTACTCAATGGGCAGGACGACACCCTCGCCATTCACGCGTGGCTCTGTCTTGGAGCCCTCCACATTATGGAGCAACGCAAACACATAGTTGAGAATGGGAAGAGCCAACTCGTTGGAGTCGTGGTGGGGAAAGTGCTCGATCTGTGGGTTATTGATGTACTTTCGCAGGTGCAGTAGGTCCACAAAGAAGCGGGATAGATGCCCCGGGTAGAGTTTGTCCAGGAACCATTGCGGGAACAGCAGGGTTTTATCTTCCACTTCTAGTTCGGGGCCGCCTTCCGGTTCCTCTTCATCTTCCTCGCTGTTTGATTTTGCTTCGTTTTCACCAGGAGCTGGCTTGTTTTCGTTCTCTTCCTGCTGCTCCCCCTCTTCCTCTGCTCCGTCTGCGTCGGAAGAGTCATCATCCAAGCCCAGAGGGTCTTCTTCGTCACTCTGTTCCTCCTCACTGACTGGCTCGAAGTAGGGGAAGGCATTCTCATAGTGATCCTCAAAGAAGTCGTACGCGTGGCACAACTCATTTGAGTACCCCTCAATGGCGGCGTTCACCTGTGCCACCAGCGAATCCCTTTGCGACTGCAGAAAATCAAAGATTATTAGAGAAATCTGAGGGATCAAGAGGAAAAACCAACCTTTTTCAGCCTGGAAAGGACCTTGGCCAAGGCGGACTCTGCTGTCTCCCCGCGCAGCCATTGGAGGGTTACCCGAATGCGTCGCTGCTGCTGCTTCAACTTCTTGCTGCGTCCCGCCTTGCCCATTCCTGCAGAAAAGAAGTTCCTAAAGGCAGAACGGGCTATATAATCGTTGCCCAAAAGGGCGGCGAACAGCGGCAGCTTTTCCGCACTGAGGGTGCCACGACCGCACAGATGCTCCACGCGATAGATGCAACAATCCAGATATTTGTAGGTCTTTCCAGGCTTCGCAGGAACCGTAGCCGGAGCAGGGGTCTGTATGCCGCCCAAAATTTTGTTGGCTTTTGTCCGCTTTTCCATGTGTTTCGCCTGGGCGCGACGCAAGTCCTGTGTATCCTTCGGCTTGGAGTGCTGCTTCACCTGCTTGGTCAGCACCTTGACGGTGAGCGTGATCAGGGGTATGTACTTGACGTTGTGGATGTAGAAGTCCGAGTCGTACGAGAGCACGGGGCAGTTGAGCTTCCTGGCCAAGGCCGCCAGTTCGTCATCCGCCTCGAATACGCAGCGCATGATGGGAACTCCACAGTCTTTAACGGCATCCACAAATACCTCCTTCAGGTGCAGCGGGAACAGGGTAATGGAGGCATTTGGATTGATCTTCTTGATGACGGAGATTTTGCCCCTCAGTCGCTTACCAACGGTTTGCAATTTGCGCTCCTCGTAGCCACCATCCATGAGCACATAGGGACGGATGCTGCACTCGTCCAGGACCTGAAAGAACTGCAACACAGCGCGATAGAAGTCATCGTAGTCCCCGCCAAAGGCCGAGTAGCAGCCGGTGACATCTTTGTACAGATTGCAGGCCAAATTATCCCCATCGATCACCAGGGCTGTGGAGTGCAGCTCGTACGGCTTCAGATAGATCTCAGCGCGCTGCGCTATATAGCTAGTAAGGCCGCGAACTCCCATAATTACCCCCTGCACTTGTTGTTTATTTTGTGTTTTTTTTTCTCCGCGTGTTTCACGGCAGTGCGACCGTTTCGTGGGTGATAAGAATTAAAGCCAAAAGGTGGCAAAAAATACCCAAAAATACCAGCTACCCACTATTTTATGAATATTTAAAAAAAAAACAGACCATTTAACCCATTAACCGCGAATATATCTTTAAATGAAGAAGTTTAGCACCGAACTTGTAAAAGATATCGCAACAAAACTTTTTTTAATCTACAAGTGTCGTAGGCTCCAAGCTGGGTATCGGGATCGAGACATTTATACAGAATATAAATCAGATGCATGGATAGACATGTTAATCTATAAGACATGTTAATCTGAGAAGAAGTTGTTAGTAATGTTTAAGATCAGCTTGGAAACAGAACTTTCATATTAATTGCAGAAAATAGGGTATACAAACGTCCATACCATCGGTTAAATGCAACAAGTGTTCAAAACCTAACCTCATGCTCACTTATATTTTATGCTTAGACCTTTCTCGTTTAAACCTTAATTTAGATGAAATCCACCAAAAGAGAGTACTTCAAGTTAGCATATCCTGTAGAAAATTGATTCATTAATCGGACAAAATAGTGGGTTCAAGCATGCGTGCCTTATTTAGCTAGTAATTTTCAACCGAATATCAAAATCGAAGAATATGATTTCTGACTTAACCCATTGTCGACCAGTGGGTATTATCATACTCCTTAAGAAAATAATTTAACTTGAAGTATTTTGCCGCAGTTAATGGGAAAGATATGGTGGATGAATCTACAGCAAGAATGTACAATCAGTATTATTTTCCACGAATTTATTCAATCTGCCGACTGTTTAAAAAGAGGGGGCACAAGTGGGTTAAGTTCCTGTGTCCATCGGTATATTTGCGGTATATTTGGAAAATTTGACGGTATATTTCAGACGGTACGTGGCGGGCACACTGCCGCACCAAATGTTCCGCAACGCGCAACATAACGAAAAAAATTTCATCGAGACTGCGCTGCCGACGAGTAAAAAATCATCAGCAATTTAAATACCAAATTAAAGATTGTGCCCTGTTTGAGCTTACTACGAAAACACACACACGAAAAATACCCGAAAAATATATTCAATGAAAGTGTGATTTGGAAACGCCGTTTAAAATTGTCGAGCGCGTGCATATATACGGGTTCCGTTGGTTGGTTTTTTCTGCTGCCTGTGCTACCACTTTACCTTTGCGTTTACCTTAACGCAGCAGCAGCAATACACTCATTTTGTTCGTGTTAATAACTTTTTGTGCGTCTTTGCTTTGTGGTCGCCATTCATTTCATATAGTATTATTTTTCTCTTGGATTTTTCTTCTTTCGGCCGAAACAACTACAACAACAACAGCAACAGAAGCAGCAGCAGCAGCAGTAGCAGAGAAACAGCAACAAGCAGACAACATGGATGAAAGAGCGAGCGCGAAGATCATCATATACTTACCGTAATCGTATCGTGAATGAATATCTTGTCTATGTGTGAGAGGCGTGCTCTACGTGTGCGTATGCGTATACGTGTGTGTTCGTGTGTGTGTGGGAAACCGACCCCCCAAAGCATTAAATAAATAATCGTGTGTGCAAATAAATGTTCCAAAAAATAAAAGAAATTGGCCAAAACGTAGCAAAGAAAAGTGTGAAAATTTATACCCGACTTGGATCAATCGACAATCGCCATTAAGTGCACAATCGTATGGAAAAGCTCTCTCACTGTAGGTCCGGTCCCTCTCTCTCAGTCACTCGGGAGTGTGTTCGTTCTCAGCGATCCGTTTACTGTTTCCCGTGAGTGCGCCTGTGTTCGTGTGCGTGTCTGTCCCGAAATTTGGAGCTGCCTCAACCTCGTCATTTGTTGGATACGGATCAGACTTACAGCTTCCATCAGGATCAGCATCAGCATCAGGATCAGGATCTTTTGCAAAAGGTACGTTATAGTGTAATAGAAATTGCATTCCCATTGGCCTGTTACCCAAGGCCATTTATTCCAGGAATGCCACACAGGGTTCGAGGCTTCTCTCTCACGTTTCCTGTCTTCCGCACATTTTCACACGTTTCGGTTTCTGCTTCTCTTCCTGCAATTGCAATTTTTCGTCGCTTTTCTTTTTTGATGATTCCCACGCCTTCCGGGGCCTGCCTTGGGCGCAGGTTTTCAGGTAGTCAAACCAAAAAAACCCCGAAAAACTCTCATTTCGTTGAAAGATTCCACTCTGTTGAATGCCACCGTAGGTGGCCCTAGCGATGGAGAAATCCAAAGAGAAAAGAATTGAAATGTTTTCTGGGACAGGAGGAGTAAATTAGACACACAGCAGCGAAAATTGAGTAAAATTAGCCACCCGCTGATTCCCGGGCCAAATCGCTGGAAAAATATGAAAATTGTATTCCGCACAAACTCACTGGATATGTGTACTTATGGATAAATCATCGTTATTATAATCTGAAACTGCAGCAGCGGCAATTTGGCATCAATTTGGATTAACCGCCAGGCGGTCGATGCTGATTTTGTAGGATATTATTGCTCCCATTTTTCCGAAACCCCATTATGTAATTTTCCCCAAGTGCTGTTGTGCTGCGAAATCAGGTTGATTGCAACACAGATAGGGTCGTGAAGAAGGAGGGGGGGAAAGTGCGACGACGACGATCTGGCGACCGCCGACAGTTGCCAGCAATTTCCGGCGCTTTTTTGGCAACTCGAAAAATTGGGCACAAAAGTTCATCCCAGGAGTTGAAATGGAAAAATGGGTTCACGGAAAGGGAGCAGGATAGGCGTCGCCGCAGAGTTCTATTCCGTCTATTCATATACCATTGTCCCCTTTTCCCCATTTCCCAAAGTGGTTTATAGTTTTCCTACAGCTGCTTTTGGCTGCGATTTTTATGGTTTTTAGTGCTAACCCTTGAAGAGAAGTCAGTGCAGAAGGTCGACGCATTGATACCTAAGGAAAGAAAATATCTTCAAACGCACTGTTGTAAAATATTCAGCCATCTTTAGTAAATGGAAAACTTGACTCCATTTAGCTTAAAATATAGAATATCATTTAGGAAAACCAGTTAATATATAGAAATGTCTGTCTGTTGCATACTAATTCGAAATGAATTGACACCCTTGATACCCTCTGATTGCTGGGTACCATAAAAAGAGTTTGAATTTCAAATAAAATCCACACACATCGGCGTGGAGGAGCAGCTGCTGCTGCCTTGCTGCATTTGTATGCGAGTGTGTGTGCGTGCGTGTGTGTGTTTATGTCTCAAATGACACTTGCGCCAACGTCGCTGCTGCTGCACAATATTTCTGTAGAATTTCATAGTAGGAAGTGCAGAACCACCAGCAGCAGCACCAGCAGCAATAACAACAACAACAACAACAACGCACTTGACGATTGTCCGGAGAGTGGTGGTGGTATTGTTGTCCCACTCTCACCTGCCCGCCAAGCGCAAGCAAATAGAGAGTTAGACAAAGAGAAATGTACTCGTGGTAGATGGATGCTCGCCAGCCCTAAGCCGTGTAGGTGTCCTACCTTGTAATACTCTCGTCGAGGGAGGGTATTATCGGTTCGATCGGTTGTTTGTAATGCCGAGAAGGAAGTCTTCTATCTACGAGGCTATCAAATGTCTCGCCTGTTTGCGATTTCCTTGGTTCTTACTTCAGTTATTTGGCTCAATTGTCCAGCAGTTGGCAATTATTCAATTGTCTTTGATTAAATGTGCAAATTTGTCTAATGTTCTCTCGCTCGCTCTTTCTTCTCTCTCTATGGAGTAGCGGATGTGGTCGCTTAAAGCTGCAACTAATTGCGATTATAATTTGTCACTGATCTCACTTTCTCAATTGTGATTTGTCTACAGTTGGACAGAGAGAGAGAGAGGGAGAGAGCGGGAGAGAGCAATTATGCGTCATTAAACATTACACACATGTGTATTTACCGTTGAATGGTACGTATCTAACGCCTGTCTGTAATAAAAAACCATTGCAACACTCGCCAACAAGAACCGAGAATAAGAAGGAACCTTTGGTTCTGCTTCTTGACCTACAAGCCAGCAGCGACTACGCGGGCAGCTCCCAGCATTTCCTGCCCATTTATATTTACTGTTAATTATTGTTTATTTTATATACATATCCATGCATATATGGTGTGAGAGAGAGGGTGGTGGTGCGGGGCACATTGGGCATTAGCTAATAAAAGCTTGCAAACAATATTCCAAATTTCCAAATTGTTTGAAATGCAGGCCCCAACTGGCAACAGACACCCACACACACACACACACACGCATACTTGAAAAACCAACAAATAAAGTAATTATTTCCTTTTCACAAGCTCCGAAATCGGAAAAACATAAAGAAACAGAGGGAAAACCGAAGAAGCCTCAAACCAAAAATAACATCCAAATACCCCCATACGCCACTGTGTCGGCGTCCACTTTTGTAGTTGTGTGCCGTTGTTGTTGTTGTTGCTGTTGCTGCGCTGCCTCTGGTCTCTGCTGCAGCGGATCCAACACGTGCAGGCGCAGGCAAAATATAGTGAGCGAGTGCAAGAGAGTAAAAGCAAGAGAGGAGTGGAAAGCGCGAGCGGAGGGAAGTAGACAAACGGTTTTGCATTAATCTCTTAATGCACACGACAGAGAGAGAACGAAGTTTTGCGAACCGAAGCTTGCAATACCCTTGCACAAGCAATATATGTACATATGTGTGTATATGATCTTATATTATACTTTGTTGACAGCAAAACCAACATACTCTCCGAAAGAGTAATATACAAACGGAACTCGATGTGATTGACAAGTTTCGTTTGCGCGAGTGTGCGTGTGTGTGAATGGAGTAAGTGGAGTGAGTAAATGAGTGAATGAGTGGAGTAGAATGCATTGTGAATGAACCGCACACCACCGCACTGCTTACGTATGTATTTCTATGATTGATTCATGCAAAATAGCTTTATTTATAGACCAATGAGATGACTAAATTGGCTGAAGGCACCTTTTCCATATCCGTTATGACCGGCCGTTGCTGCCACTCCTTTTATCTATATTTGGCCGCGGCCACGGCCTTGCCTACGCTCTACTTCGGCTATTCTTTACGTTATCGTGTGTCTGGACAGGCATTGATCATGTACCCTCGTTACCTTACCGATTGACAAACCGGAACCCTCTCCAGCAATATCATTCGCGTATATGTATCGGCGCTAGCGTTAGCTCTCCCTCCTCCTTGGCTCTCTCCTGTGTATCCGTCTGTGGTTGTGGGTGTGGGTGTGGGGGGCGACGGCATCGGCATCGGCTTGAGTTGTAATTTCGCGAGTCGTATATGTCTGTCTGCCTGTCTGTCCCTGTCTGCTGCCCATAAATCATGCGTTTTGCAGTCAAGTTTCTTTTATTTTTTCGCCTCTTTTTGCCTATTTATGCGACGCAGCGGCTACCGTGAGCGATGGCGCTTACGTCATGGGGGCAGGCTACCGTACATATTTGGCCATGTTTTACTGTTGTCAATTGGCCAAATGAGAGCCAGCATCAATGCAAAATATTGAAAGTAGGTAAAGAGTGTGGCACTGGCAGCAGCCGATTCCGATTGAGTCATCGTCCCCATATTTTCCACAGTTGTGAAATCGCACTCGCGTATCCATCAGATATGTACTACAAGATGCTCCACACATTTTTGTAATTAATAATCGGGGATAAACAGCTGGAGAGTAGAAATATCTATCTCAATCTCTCTGTCATCCGTTGCCCATTTGTTCCATTTCCTTCGGCTCCTGCGATTTTCATTGGAAATGCAATCTTTTTTTGGCCAACATTTTTCCATAATTCAATAAATTTATGTACAAACAGCCTTGTTAAACGGAAAATTATAACAACTCTTTCGTTCGCATCGATCGTCTCTTTATAAATCTCCTTTATATAGACATTCGACATTTGTTTTGATTTGCCTACGTTCTGAATAGCATATAAATCGTGCAGCATTCATGAATGGAATAATGAATGGGATGGGAAATGGGTAATTGGTTATTTTTTTGCATCTGCTTTTTTTCGTTCTTTCTTCCTTCGCTTTTTTTTCTGCGGTCTGCGGTCTGTGACGTCAGGGCGATTATAGAGTACTTTGTAGGCCTTTAATTTAAATAGTTTTTGTAATTCTTTGATGGGTTGAACGATGGAAACAGTAAGATGTAAGGAACGGAGAGCATTCCATGCGTTCCATTTGCAAATTTATCCTTTCGCTTATGGGAAATTTACAGAGCAAGCTTGTACGTCATTCGACGAATTTCCCCCATTGCAATAGGGATATAACGCTTATTCATCGACACAGATATTACAGACTTAGTGACTCAACTCTTGGGCCTCGTAACAAACAACCTCCCAAGTTCTTCCGAATGAATGCCCCATAAAGCCACTAGGTATGATTAACCGAAAATATCCATCCATTCTGCCGAAAAGCGAAACCCACTCATCATAGCAGCCAAACAGCTGACTAACCCACACTCTTGATCGATCCGTACAGTGCGATCGGGTACAGTGGGTGGTGCATACGGAGTAGATTACGAGTAGATCCAATATTTACACTACATTGATGGACATATATGTACCTCATACGAGTATCTACAATATGTTTACCTAGTTTTGTGTTTTGTGTTTTGTGTGCTTTGTGGGGAGAGGCGGCCTGGACTGAACCGAATGTTCTCTCTATAGGATCTTGCAGCTTATTTATTTATTTATTTATGTGTATAGATATTTTGTTGCTATTTATAACTGGCATACTAATTTGTAATTTGTTTAATGATTCACTTAACGCTCACTTTATGAAGTGTGGGAATTTGAAGACTCTAGAGGAGGCCCCTCTAGGCCCTGTCTACGCGTTTTGTATCGGGAATCCGTTGAGGAAAGAGCTTCACAGAGTGTTGACCCAACTAGTTATGGCTGATAAGATTATTTCCAAGAAGGCCATAAAGA